ATAATAAATAAATAAGTTATTTCTTAAGTTTTTATAATATTAGCTTTTTATTATAGTAATTAATTAGATATTTTAATATAATATTTAAGTTATAAGCTAGATATATTATTTATAGTTAAGACTTTTAGCTAAAAGCTTATTCTAGCAGATAGAACCTAGCTTATTGCCTCTCTATAAGCAAGTACAGATAGAGATAGAGCAAACACAGAAATGAAAATAGCACAAGTAAGCCAGACCATAAAAAAACAGTAGGTAAGACGGCACCCAAATCTGTCAGTTGCAAAGAAATTGCAGACAAGACCGGCCAACTCTCCAACAAGCGCGCTGTTGGACAGGCCAGACTGCCAAGCGGCAGTGATCTCCTTCCTGCCAGTCATTGGGTTGTATTCGCCAAACTTTTCGGCAAACTGGGGCTGGCCGAAGAAACCGTTGATCTAAGTCCCAGTCATTCATCAATATATCGTCACTCCCTGAAACACAAAGAAAGGTGAAGCCTCATACTATCACAATGTCATAACCCTCCATAATCAATGCTGTCGAGAGAAGGGTGCTCCAAAGAACAGCCTTCTTGTACTTCTTGAGGGCCTGCCAAATGGTCAACTGTCGATCGGCAACATCAGCCGCCTGCGCCTTTGAAACCAGCATGGCAACGTCATATGCAGGCTTTTCAGGGGCTTGAAGTCCTCTCTCAACAGCGTTTGCTTTCTTGGAGGTCATGCTGGATGATAATCTTGTTGCTTGGCTGGTGCAAATCTCTGGTTATGTTGTTTTTGCTATTAAAAAGCTTAGCATGAAATATAAGGCGGGCCAACAGAGGTCTTTATTTACGGGAGAAAGTAATTAAGTAACTTGCATACCCCATACCCCATAACCCATGTCCTAAGGACCATGGCTGGTGCAGTAGCTTATTACCTTACGCCAAAGCCTTACAGGCGAGCGGTTGAGCTGTAACTGTGTATATGATCAGCCGCAGTTAATTCTAGATTATAGTGGCTTTAGCTAAATAATTCTGACGCATATCGTCTTACTGAGAGTTGATCTGCGTGGCCCCTAACTCGGATCCTTGCTGACCGCCGTCATATCCGACCCTAGAAACTGCGATCATGCTGAAGTTATCATAAAAGATTCGCGCCCCCTATGTATGTACTTGAACCAATGGTAAGGCTTAGTTTACTACTGGCTGCTTCTGGCTCGTAACCACTCATAGGCGAGAAGCGACATCGATAATTCTATGTGGCGCAGAACCCCCCCCCAAAGACCCAAACTACCGCGGAGCAATACGTTTGATATCCGCATGGTCCTGAAGAGTGATTTAGCCTGAATGCATACCACAGACCATCAGCCCGGCACGCGGGTAGCTTTCGAGAGAGAGGGTCCAATCCTGTAGGAGCCTAGATAAGCATGATGGATGCTGAATGCTTATGAGCAGTATTATGATCGTTCGTTAGGCTCCTCCTTAGCCCAGTGCCAGGCTGCCAGCAGATAATTCCGTCGGATATTACAACAGTAAAGCAGCATGATGGCGCGGTAGGGCTGAGATTAGCCTAAACGTAAGATGGATTTAACCACTCTGCATTGTTTGGATGAAGACCATAGGATGCTTTGCGTTTGACATAAGCGATGTGTTTTGTTGAAAGTCTAGATCACTGTCATCGGCCAGTGTCGACAGCATTGATAACATAGCAGCAATATGGAGTCAGCACATCCGCTTAAGGCAAGGAGGATTAACCCATAATCAGTGATTCGCCTCCAGCAATCTTGACACACTAGACGTGGCAGAAGCATTGCACGGCATAAGCTGGCAACGCAACTGCATCGGGTTTATAGATATCGACTACTAAGCGAAAATGACTTTAAGCCATCAGTTGAACTTCTCATTTTACCAAGGATGTAGACTATTAGCAGGTCTTCGCTTGATAGGTCATATGAGAACGCAAAAAGCGATTACTTCAGGCTTGCTCTGGTAGGAGATAAACTGTAGGATTACCTAAAGTAACTGGCCTATCCACTCCAAAAGTTTGGTCAAGCGGAGTCGCTTGGGTACAAGCAGGTGGAGATCAGGGAGCTGTTAACAGGGTATGAAGTGTTCCGTCGCATAGTCTTCCGCCCTCGTACAGGTATAAAGGATCCTCCCGCTGAGACAACGATGTCAGGGGGCAGCTCGCCTGAAGGTTCGAGCATCTCATCAGAACGGCAATGCAAGAGAAGGATTTTAACCTCAGGGCCTGGGAATTTCGATGAAAGCTTGTGAAGCAAATTTTGGAAGGATTGTAACCAGGGAAAGCCACGAAGATGATCAGGATTGCCATCGAGAAGTCCCGTGTCGACGACAATATAGACAAGCGGCCCAATGCCCATAAGAATAGACCCGAGAATATCAAACCAGCTATTCTCACTCGTTGCTGTCCTGAAGCGATGATGCAAGAGCGAAATGGATTTCTCGGTTCTTTTCTCAGAGCTAATGTTAATCGCCTGGAGAGCTAAAAGCTTTAGCAAATAATTTCCCGATATCTCCCTGCATGAAATTCTAGTGCCCTCCTCATTTGGCATTGGAAGTGCCCATAGCACTGGAACATTATATGTCATGAGCTGATCAATGACCAGCGTGGAGAAATGCCTTATCAACTTTTGCGCACACTGCTTGCCCTTTACGACAATAAGCCGCGACCCTCGTGCCGATGACCAGACCTTTAGCTTCGGAGAGACCCAGAAGCGATCACTGAATTTGACTGCGGAAGTGCTGTTCTTTAGCCTGCGCAGCGAATGGTGGAATTTAAAGGCTTCCATTGGATCCCAAGGGAATTCAGGTTTGAGGACTGAGATCGCCTGGTCGAACTGCATCTCCGTTAGGCACTGATTGGTGTTTATCAGTGCGCTGGTTTCGATGTTGGGTGTTTCTGGAGCAGTGAATTTTGAAAGCAAAGTGGAGTATATCGCTCTCAGTTGATCGTCTTCCAAGACGGCCTGTAGAACTTGAGGGTGGTTTCTGGTCTCCTGCAAAGCAGCATTGGAATCTGAGCTGTCTAGCTCCATCAAATAACGTCAGACACCACGATTGGATGAGTATAAATAGGAAACTAACTTGTGGCATTATATATGACACTCATGTTGTATGCTAATAGTCTGAATGTCAGCTGCTGTCTTAATCAATCTGTACACGCATACTTGAGTCTTCCCCATCGTGGGGGGACTCGGACGATCCTAGTCTCCTTCTTCCTTAGATCCAGATTTGGGGGGCCCACCAAAATGCATATCTCTCGCTGCTTCATAGTTGTCGCGGGAAACATTCTTCTGTGTGCCTGATCCGGTGTTGCTGTATATATGTCCCTCCCCATAATGGCTGACGCTACCGGCCATCTCTTCAAAATCCGAATCGGGTATGGATGGTTCTACTTGCTCCAGCTCCTGCATGGCCATTTTCAACTCCTCCACCTGGCTCTGAGTCGCCGCCTGAAACACACGGTATGTTGTCAGGGTGTATGTGTCCTCTAATATGCCTCTCATCAACGTCTCGACCCGACCCTTCTTGCCTATTTTGATGACAAGACTTCGATACACAGAAATGATTGACTTCCCTTTCGACGTGGCAAGTTTCTTGAAGATATCCTCCAACTGCTTGGTGTTCTCCTTGCAGCTCTTCAGGAGAGTCTCCAGCGCTTGGGATTCGTCGTCAGGCGCGTTCTCCGCGTGAGTCTTCGCAGCTTGAAGGGTCTTTTCGACCAGTGGAAGCTTTTTCTTTACTTCCTGAAATGCTAGGGGCAGGCCCTTTAGGTCCTTGATCGCATCACAGGCCCTGATGATCGTTTCGGTTACGCCAATAATAGCCGCAATCAGGCTGAAGATTTCAAAACCTGACATTGTTGTGGGACTGAATGAAGCCGGGTTGGGAACGGGATGAGGTTTCAGTTTCCTGTGCCGTTAATCAGCTGACGTTCTTGGAACAAGGCCTTGGCGGGAAAGACATAGCACAAGGTCGTGTAATCTGTACCTTTTTCCGATAATTAGTGCGTGATGACGTGATAGAGACGAGGGGAGATACGCAGGTTTATAGGGCCGCCAAACGGCACATAATCATCTCCGCCACATTTTCTATTTTTAGTAGAGACGTTATATAGCAGGGCGGCTTGTATTTAGGCCGGGCAATGATAAGGCTTGTTGTCGCCTACCCCGCAAACCGCGTTCAGCGTCGTGAAATGGCAGACCGGCGCAGGCTGCTCAGAGCCCCATAAGGTTTCGACCAAGGCAACAGCAGAGATGCATTGTTTTTTTTAATTTGGTGCAAGCTTGTATGATGTATCTCGGTAATGCTGAGGCAGAAAATACCGCGATCTGGCCAAATCAAGCGCAAAGACCGACTGGAAATTTGAGGCAACATGCCTTCCGATTCCAATACCGGTACATGTCTTGCCATCCTCTCGCTTTGAAAAGTTGGCCCATCGAGCTGAACACACTTCATCTTGGCTTTCGGGTTGCTCAGCTCTCGATTTGTCCGCTAAATGTGGGACCCACACGGCGCTTCGACACTAAGTGATCAGCGACCTGTAATCAGGCGCACTACTGGTTACTTATGCGTCATGGCTGCAGCCAGTCAGACAAGCCTGCATTAGGCCGGGGAGGGAATCCAAATCACACCCAATACATACCGATAATGACTTTGAGATAGTTTTCTCTTTTCGCGGGAAAAGAGATAATGTGGATTTTGCCGACGGAGCCTAAGATCGCCCCGTCCCGTCGATCTGTGAAGATAAAGTTTGGAGGCTATACCACTAGACGCCGAACAACACAAAGAGGGTTGTTTCATCACTGACCACCACTTAGACCTCCTTGAATCGTGCCGAGGTTGACTACGTGTGCCTGCAAGATCTAGCAGCGCTCTTATGCATCAACTGGCATCGTCCCTCTTGTCGCCGTGAAACACTGGAACGAAATAATCTCATGACCTATGTACTTTTTTTCGGCACAGTACAGAAACCGTCTGGCTTCGCGGCCACTAATGGAGCAGAACTCGTGCCATTGCCGAGAGCCCCGTCATGGCGCAAACTTTAGCAACAGCCAATCACAGCAAGAAGAAAAGGTGTGACTGCAGGGCGTATGTGAGCCACCCATTTCAGATGAGCTACATCCAGGAAGGAAAGCTAAGGAAGTTCTGGATTGGTCCAAGGATTCTGTACCAGGGCGCCATCCTGTCAAATCTCGCGATCCAGACGCTCGCTGCTTTACTAGGCCGTCCCCTCGGGGGGAAAAATTAAACAACCCCAAATGCACCAAAATTCGCTGGCATTCCACCCATTGAGGGGTCGTTTTTTGTTTCCCCCCCTAGGCCGTCAGCCAGCAGCGCCCTATCGGCAACAGCAAATAAGAACGCAGCATTTTTTTCTTCGGGTATGGGGCAGAAATGGGGGGATAGGGAGGGCAGGTTGGGAGCGTTTTCTGCCCTCCTCCCGTTCCACGCCATCCATCATCCTTGAGGCATACGCTGGAACGGAGTGCGCTCGGCGATTGATAGACCACCAGACATTTTGTCTGTACCGGACCCAGTTGATGACAGAAAAGCCCAAGCGAGATGACGTCGAAAGAACAGAGCAATCAAGAACGCTGGGCACCACCAGTCAAAGGGCCGATGCACTCTCAGGGTGACTTTGAGAGCCACAGGTACGGATTGACTTCCCCGCTAAATCCTAATGCAGCTAACATAAAGCGTAGTTTCGAGTTCATCAAGCATCTCACCATTTCTCGCGACCAGACCAAAAGAAGCGACTTCGAAAACGAAAGGCTTTTGGCACTTGGAGAAAAGCCAGATGCCCGATTCCACATCCAGCCGAACCCCATACCGGCGGAAGGCCAGGCTGCTGGCGGTGCTACTCAGCCTTTCAAGGGGCAGAGTCAGCAAGAGCAACCGGGTCAACCGGGTCAAGGTCTTCAGGGGTCCCAAATGACGGCTCAGGGTGCTGATGGAACCGCTTACAACGCTTTATACAACCCTGCTGACATGGGCGGTCCAGGGGGTATTCTATCAGGACGCGGAGTCCCCCAAGGTCTAGACGAAAAAGCCCAGAACTACCAGATGCAGGTAATGCTGCTCGAGCAACAGAATAAGTTGAGGCTCAGGATAGCTCGACAACAACAGGATACCATTGGTAGCATGCATGAACGATCTGGTGGTCCCAATGGTCGTGGAGGCCCAACTGGGACGAAGGGTCCGCCCTTCCAGCGAGTGTCTCCGCAAGGGAGTAGCCACATTGTTTCGCGCGACCCGGGGCAGAAGCGAAACGCACCGCATATGAACAACGAGAACATAGAGTCGCCTCTCCCGGAGGGCACGCAGTTCGTCCATAACGTCCTGATGAACCAGCAGATGATGGAACCCCGCGGCGTGTACACCCAAAGAGAATTTCCCTATCCTGGCTCAGATTGGTCTAGAGTAATCCAGCGTTTGAGTGAGCTGGAAGATGAGAACAAACGGCTCAAGGCTCTTGAACAACCAAGCGACCCTCCCCCTAGGCTTCAGGTTTTCCATAAAATCCAGGGAAATTTGTCAACGTACCTGACCGCTCCATCATGGATCACCAGCCCCGAAGAAGAATGTTCGCTGATGGGGCATTCCCCAGTCATCAGCGAGAACCGGTACCTAGATGGGAGGCCTGACATCGCCATTGTTGTTTACGCGCATTACATGGAGGTACCTTGGGATGACGTTGAGATGTTCGCGGAGAATGACTCCCCTCCCGACCCGAAGCCTTTTCGGCACTCCATAAAGCTTCTCTCGGAGAAGATAATTACAGCAATAAACTCCTTGCTTAGCAAAATACCTCGACCCGATGGTGAGTCTTCTGATTGGGAAACAAGCGGCCTCATGGAGTCACCCTTTCCATTCTGGTACTATTATCGGTCCTCGTCTGCCCTGTGTTTTGATCATCTTTGTGACGATGAAAAAGAACATTTGAAGCTTCTTACAGACTGGATCGATTATAATTACGACGATGTTTTTGACGAGGCAAATAGCCTGGCATCCCGCAAACTTGTATCCAGGAGAGTGTTTCCTTTATTGTTCCGCCCCGGCGATGTCCTCATTCAAAAGACCGGGCCAGAAGCCAAAGACATTCGGGGTCTTGTTGCGTCATCATGGGTTTGCGACACCCGTTCGCTAGATAGCGAGAGCGATGAAGAGGCCTCGCAAAAAAAGACCCAGACGTGGTATCTCCAGGGTTGGTCTTACGAGTACGACGGAAAATTCCACCGGCGTGATGAGAAAGTTCGCTTTGACATTCAGTCGGCTGGCAGGAACCAGGAAATTGATATCACCAGCCTCAGTGCTTTCCCGGTCAAGTTTGCCGATGCTGAAGTCAAGCATAGGTTGAAAAATCGGGGTCGGAGGTTCTGGAAATGCCGGTATCGGGGGATTGTATCGTCAACGCAGGGAGTGAGTGTATTATTGTTACCGTCGGTTGGAGATTCAGTCTGCTAATATTAGCTGCACCAGCCCGGAGAGAGATTCATGGTTGACTTTTCCACATATAGACGCCTCCACCCTCAAAACTACATCATGTCAGCCGCCGATGGTTCCAAATACATGACGGACGAGGCCATGGCATGCGACAAACCCCCTGAGATGCCAGATATTATGGTCTTCCCAAGTACTTTCACTGCATACAATCTCAGGACCAAAAAGTGGTGTGAGTTATAAATGCTTATTCTCGGTGCAAAATTAAGACTTGCTGACCGAACCTGTTAGTGGACATCCACGTCGACTTGTGCGAGGACGTACAATGGAACGCTGCTGCCTTCGATCATCTGGTAGTCGAAGACAAGACCAAGAAGCTCCTGAAGGCCCTGGTGACTAATAAGCTCAGGTCAGATCAAGGCACAGATATTATTGAGGGCAAAGGCAATGGATTAATAGTTCTTCTTCACGGTGGTCCTGGTACTGGTAAGACATTCACAGCAGAGAGTATCGCGGAGATGGCCCAGAAGCCTCTGTTCCGGGTTACATGTGGTGATATCGGTACACATCCTGAAGCGGTAGAGAAGTATCTTGATTCAGTCTTATACCTCGGCAAGCTCTGGGACTGTATTGTGCTTCTGGATGAGGCTGACGTTTTCCTGGAAGAGCGCCAAATCACTGACCTTGAGCGGAATGCATTGGTCGCGGTCTTTCTACGTATCTTGGAATATTATGAAGGTATCCTCATCCTAACCTCCAATCGAGTCGGAACGTTCGACGAAGCCTTCAAGTCTCGGATCCAGCTGGCTCTACACTACAAGCCTCTAGAGCAGTATCAAAGGGCGAAGATCTGGAGGAACTTCTTCGATCATCTCAAAGATATAGAGCAGGACGAAAATACCTCTACGAAACCCCAAGATGGCCATGGAAAGGTCGATAACTGTAGTAAACGAGGGATTGACTTTGTGGAAATCTACAGTGCTATTCCTCAGTTGGCCGCGAAACAGCTAAACGGACGGCAGATTCGAAATATCATTACACTCGCCCGCCAATTAGCTCATGAAGACACAGTCGGCATGAGTTATTCCCATCTACAGGAGGTTATTGAAATCACCAGCTCATTCGATAAGGATTTGAAGATGCTTAAATATCAAGAAATGCAGAACCAGTAAGGAAAGTCTGTCTTTATCCAAAAGGAAGTAATAAATAATATAAATTTATACTTTATATATATATTAAAGCTATTACATTGCATTAAATCTATAGCTAGAAAGATTAAGTTAATTAATACCCTGTAGCTGTAAGTGACTTTCTCTAGTAGGTATCTAAGAACAGAATAAGAGAGGGCTTTGGTACTGGGGTAATGCCAATAGAAACTGAAACATATACATTATGTAAAACTTGAGCTAGAACAAAACAAGCGCTGCAGCTAGCGGCAGGTAAGAATACAGTTAGAAGCAGGCCTAAACCTGAATGGCATTAGATTTCATTCGCGATCCCTGATTCTTAGGCCGAGGGGTTTAGTGGGCTAGTTGAGTTTGGGCGTTTTCCCCGCGAACTATAGCCTTCCCAAAGCCACAATTAGTCTAGAAAACACGCACTGACTCAGGTCTGTATACCTATAATAATCAGGCAAGCGTTTACTGTAACAGGACTGTAGTCTCCAGATCTTCGTGTAGCTACGGAGTAGATTGACTAACTGTCATGGGTCCCGTCTTGCTATTATCTCCAACATTGATATATACCAGAGCATAGCTTGCCCGAGATCCTTCAGGCTAAATAAAATGACTATGGACTGACGAGATGTTTGGATGGCGTTTACCCCTAGGGCCCCAGGAAAATGGCATGCTTTTCACGGTATGCAGGTAACAGTATATGGCGCTGTCGTCAGAGAACTCGGTCTACTTAAAAAACCTGTAGTCGTTAAACCATCACTTGATATTCCAGTTCTACAGACAAACCCTTCATCCTGATTCACATCCTTATTTCGTCATTATCGTCTGAAATGAAGGCAAATCTTCTTTCCCTTCTCTGCCTCTTGGGCGCTGGCGCTGTCTCCGCTGACACAGACATCTACGTCTCGCCCTCGGGTTCCGACTCGGGCAGCGGTAGCCAGTCCAACCTTTGCAAGTCTCTGACAAAGGTCCAGCAAGCCGTTCGGTCTGCTCTTAGGTCTTCTTCACCTGAAGCCATTACGGTCCACCTGGGCAGCGGTACACACACTCTGACCAAGCCGCTGGTTCTGACATCAGATGACACTGGTTCCAGTGACACTCCCGTTGTCTGGACTTCGAGTGCCAATTCAACCATCTCTGGTGGTCTCAAGATCACTGGATGGAAGCTTGGCAGTGATGGTTTATACTCCGCATCAGTCCCACCCAACACGTATTCGCGCAATCTGTACGTTGATGGATGGGCAGTTGTTCCCGCCCGCAAGATGATTAATCGTCGCGACTTCAAGTTCAGCGACATTGGCATGTCATGGACCAACACTGCCTAAAATTACCTGAAGTCCGTCCGCAACATCAGCAAGGCCGAAGTGCGCTTCATCAATTCCTTCACCAACCGCATTGCGCCCATTGTCTCACTCACCGGTAGTCAGCTCACTTTCAACGGGACGAGCTGGAACAACAACATCCAAGGCTATGACACGGTGAACCATCCCTTCTGTGAACACGGTGTCTGTATCTAGAACGCCTATGATCTCTTCACCGATGGTGGTCAGTTCTTCCTTAACACTGACGCAAACACGGTCCACTACAAGCCCTTGGATGGCCAAGACATGAGCCAAGTCGAGGCGTATCTTGGCATTCAAGAGGCGCTCGTTGTCGTTAGTGGTACTTATGATGATCCCGCTCATGACATCACGTTCTCTGGCGTTAACTTTGCTCACACCACTTGGCTGCGACCCGGCCAGGGCTACGGCTATGCCGATCAGCCGACTGGAGGATACATGCCCGCCATCAAGAACTACACCGACTTCGAGGCTTCACGGGGCGAGTGATGGCAAATGCCTAGTGCCGTCCAGGTCAGCGCTGCCAGAAATATTCAATTCGCAAATGGAACCTTCTGGCAGCTTGGCGCTGGCAGCGTTGGCATTGGTGGTGATCCTGACGCTCATATCACGGGCACTGGCTACGGTATAAGCAAGGTTTCCGTCACAGGTTGCTACTTCACCCAAGTCATGGGCAACTCTATCACCGCAGGCGGCACCAACCCTAATGCTCACCGTCCCAAAGACACACGGATGATCAACACAAGAATTTCCATCCAGGAGAACATCTTCTACAACACCTCATCCCTCTATCCTTCCACCGTACTCATCTTTGCATCTTACGTTCAGTACTCAGACTTTACCAACAACGACATCAGCCAGGTACCCTACTCAATAGAGATACAAACCTGGGGTTATATCCCTTTATATACCTCTTAATCTCTTTACCTTATAATACCTTAAGGCTTATAGCAAGATATAATAGTTATTATAAAAGCTTCTAGATAAAAGCTTATATTAAGGCAAAAAATATTATATTCTTATTTATTATCTATATTTACAGCCTAAAGGTTAACCTTATAGGTCGTATTTATCCCTACAGGTACCCTACTCGGGCTTCTGTATCGGCTACGGCTGGGGTCTCGTTGACGCCGGTGGCAGCCCCTTGTACCAGCAACGCGGGACCTACAAGTACTGGCCAGTTTATGATACCCCTACTACCTCCCTGAATAACGTGGCTCACGGTAATCTGATCCAGAACTTTGGAAACGTCTTGACTGACTTGGGCGGTATCTACACGGCACCTATATTACGGAGAATAATATCCAGAGCTCTCTGGGATATGCCGTCTACACAGACGAAGGCAACAACTCGCATTTGTTCCAGAGAAACAACCAGTTCGGCGTTTCTTGGCTTCACGCTAAGGAAGGAGGTATTTTTACAACTGGCAACAACACCTTCCAGGATAACATCCGCTACAACGGTGTAGACGTCGTCGTCGACTACGCCAATGGAACAGCCCTTCTTGGTCATACCTACCAACGAAACTACTGGGTGAGGAACCTAAATCAGACAACTGTCCTGTCTGCAAAGGTTGGCTGGCGTGCCGGCTTCCCCCCTGCCAAGCGCGCCGGACGTCCCGTTGCCAACCTCAACAACAACCCAGATGCGGCTGTTGAACTAGAGTTTCCGTCCTCTGGCAACGGAGCTGCCGTTCTCAGGGTTATTAATTTCGATGATGTTGACTACACTAGCATCAAAATTTCCGCCTCCATCTCGCCATCTACCAACTTTACGCTATCAACTGTTTCTGTCCCAAGTTCCATCCCGGCCAACTTATTTGCCCTCGCAAAGTACAAAGTCACCGGGTCTCCTTGCACACCTCCCAACTTCCAGGGCACCGTCACGTATACAAACACGCGGACTTCGACGACCAAGACCCTGACCATTAGCGGTGTAATCGTTGGCCTTGGTGTTCTCGCCAGCAAGTACAGCACCGCTTCCACTACCTACGCCACCTTTGGCCAGACCTGCAAGAACCTGGGCATCAGGTCTTCGAATCGTGATTCTTGGAATCCCAACGATGATTGGAGTGTCATCAAGACGGACTAGATCTCTACCAAAGGCAGCATCGCCGCTAAGGTGCTCTCCGTGGACCAAAATAGCGGCCGCGCTGGTGTAGTGGCTCGTAACTCCCTCGTTCCCTTCAGCAACACAACCGGGTATGCTGAAGTCGTGGTTACTGGCTCTGGTGGCATTTCCTTCCGCTGGGATGACCAAGGAGTTGGTCGCTTTACCAACCAGACTGTCGTTTAGTGGCATTAAAGCCACGGTTTGTGTTCGACTCGACATCGATGGGAACAACTTCACTCCTTTTTACTCGACTGATTGTCAGAAATGGAGCAGGGTCAGCAAGGCGGTTACTGCGCCTGGTCGCAAGGGGTCCTCTGAGGTCGGCCTCATTGGGACTGCTAACAGCGTTACCACAAACAGCACTGCGCTTTTCACCCTGGATATCTAACCTGTGGCGGTTGGATCTATCAGAGTACGGAATGGCGAGAGCTGTAATCTTGTGAGGACTTTTTTTACTGAATCAACATTTTTCCTTTGTGTATTTACAGAACGACTGCTGCGCCTAGTGAGATCCCCGCTCTAGCTTGGTGGCCAATACAATCTCTACAGTCGCGAGCTTCATGAATAGTACTCACTTGTTATGCAGACATACCTTTGAAACTGAGTTTGCGCTTTTCATATACCTTTTGCAAGCTTTAATCCACTATTGATTACCTATTCTTACAAGGAAGACAACAGTGCAGCTAGTTCTAGTATTATAGCGTCCTAAACACGTATAATAAGTCCATTCGTGCCCGAGCCCACCAGCCTTTTCAAGTTGCTCGGTCGGGAGAAGACGACCCATCTGGGTTTCAAAACGATATCTGCAGACTCTTCAGAGTGGCAAGCTAATGCACAAGAAAGTCTAGCCCTACTAAATGTAGCCTTCACCTTGTATGTCTTCCCAGCGCATGTCCTCCAAAATCTGCCAAATTCGTCGGCGGTTGGTAAATCCACCCGGAACATCCAGCCCAGCCTCGGCATAACTCCATATGCCCTCATCCCTGTAGCTGGCTGCATCAGAAGGTGCAGGATGTGGAGAGCTCATAACCTGTCTAGTGAGCTTTTCCCAGTTCCACTTCTCGACTTCTTCTGTATCCGAGCCAGTCTTATTATACACAGCCTCAGCGGCAAGATCCCAGAGGAAAGGGATTCGGAAGAATATCTCTCTCCATACAAACTGAGAGACTTTGGTGTCGCCTTTAGGAAAGGTTTGAGTATCTTGAAAGAAGTCATAGATATAGTCATTGAGCTCCTCTGGCGACATCTCCAGAGACGTCTGAACGACATTATGGTCCAGTCGCTCGAGATTTGCAAGGAGTCTAGAGGTCAAGTCAGGGATGTCTATGGGTTCCTCATCCCACTAGTATATTGCAGGTTTGTTAGCTTAACGTTATAGGCTAGAAGTGAGACGTGTATCCGGACATAAGCTTACCCATCCTTCCCATTCGTCACCGCATTGTTCGATACAGGGATAGGGAACGTAATAGCGTTCAAAGCCGAGAGAGGTTGGCTGGCGAGGTGAGTTTGGAATAGGAGGGACATAATTCATGTCCCTTGGTTGCGGTCGCTGTCTCTGTATTTGACCAAGATAGCGGGCACAGCGGCGTTCGAGCGTCAACCAAAGTTGCAAGGTAGAGCCAACAGAGACATTAAACGGCGACCAGATTGCGCGATTAGCAATGTTGTCGCAAGATGCGTGAATCCCCATATACATTTTTGCCATCGCGGTATTGGACTGCTTATCAGATTGGCGATCGGAATGATATGGGTGCTGTGGATACACCTGTTTCCTATCTGGGAGCAGAAGTAGTTTACCAGGGTAAGACTGCACCTCTGCAGTATAGCGAACAATTTCTTGGCTGGGCCCCTGCGCTTCCCGAAGTACGGCATCATACGATGGCCAATGGGGTCCAGCTAAAACAACAGTGTCTTCGTCAAGGCACATGCCGCAAATAGTGCAGTAGACATAGTCGGGGTTCGGAACCATAGCTGGTTGAAGGGAAAAGACAAACAATGACTGGGAAGCAAAAGGCTTTAGCAATTGGAAGCCTAAACATGTGGTGCGCGTTCTTAGGAGTCTAAAATAAAAAGCCAGGGAACATCGATGTCCTCGTTTTTATATCAGTTAACCCCAAAGCTTCATAACCGGCTGTGCATGCAGGATTCTGATAATGTTCCTTTGAGTGGCTGTGGACTCTTCGACCCCACGCACGAGACGCATCTACCGCTTTGTTTGTCTGTCTCGAAACTTTCAAATTAATATTAGTGCTCCTTATTTCCAGCTGTTTTACTAAAATACGCAAGGTGCCTTTGGTTCAGTTTTTCCTTTGGCCTTTGCCCACAGTAATGACTGCCTTATAGGGCTATGCCGCGCAAAAGAATAAGCACTTAACCTGTTCGACTCACATCGCCTTTGCTGCACCTCCAATCGATTCAATGGTCCATTTAATTATTTCAATCAACTCTGGGGGCCTTTTTAATCCCTCAACATCATTTCAGTATCTCCTCAGAATCTTTTTCACGGGGATTCTCGTAAACCCTAGCTATGGACGGCCCTTATGGCTGAGGTCATGGCTGAGCAAGAACTGTAATCACTCATTTCACAGCAGACTCCCCACATATGACCATCCGATCTTACATCAGCAGAAAACCCCAAAGAACTTCTGCAAGAAGTTACGGCCTTATTGCCTGTAAGGGTATTCTGTCTCTCGTCAGCCTCGATCCTAGAACAAGATGCAATTTGAACCATGAAGCGAAAGTTCAGACTCGCCATGAGAAGATCGCAAGCGCCAGGATTCAATCGTGGGCTGGGTAGATAAAATACGAGTCTGACTACCATGACTGGGGGAAGATGACATACAAGCTACAGTATTCTAGTGCTTAGCTCCCGTAAGAGTTTCTCTTTTCTCCCCTGAGCAAAGCCCCTTGTTGAGCATCCAATCGTAATCGTTTTGGACTTGGACATAGAAAACAGTTGAAGGCTTATCTTTCTTACTGTGTTCGTAGAGTAACTACTCCTTTGATGGAACGACTATACGAATCTACTCACACGGGAGCCATAAGCATAACGGGCTGTTGTTTCTCGCCTTCCATAAACGGAATTGTAGAGCCTCAGTGTCTGCAGATAGGTCATCTTGAGATTGTTATCTTGAGTTGACAGACTTGCTTGTATCGGGCAGCTTACCTCTAGGTGTTTTGTGTGCTTTAAGCCTGATTATCCTTATGGATAAGCAGCAGCCACTTACTTATATGCCTCTAGAGTCAGTCATCAGGATATCTAGCTTTTTAGCTAAAAGCAAGATCTTAGGTAATAGTAAGGGCGATAAGTATTTTGCCTGTATGTGTTTTTTTGGTGTTCTTTACCTTTATGGCCTTGAGGCTGAAGCCTCTTTTTGACCCCTTAACCCTATCACAGTCTGCAGATAGGTCAAGTCATTGGCCTGATCAAACCAATGCCAATTCTATTTCAAGCAACTGCTTCTAAGCACCAGATTTAAATCCTAGTCTCTGTAGCTGGTAGTAGGGTTGAGTATTGTTTCTCGGGATATTTGAAGTTCTTGTTAATAAATTAGTATATATATCGTTGATATCCTTAAGTGCTCTGTCCTGAAAACCTAACTACAAACTCGAATCTTAAGCATAAAGCCCTTTTTCTTATTCTATCTATTATTTTATGGTCAAGCAAAACAATGCATTCACCATCTCATTCTTTCGCCAATTGTCATGAAATACTCTTTAATCTTGGCGCTTTGGAGCGTGGGGGCTCTTGGAGGCCCCTGCAATCCAACTGAGACTCCAGGATCCGTCCATACTTCAGGAGGACTCGAGGGATGTAATGATGAGCTTTCAGAAAACTCTTCTACATCCCTTGTCGTGAGTCTTCCCGGCCAGGATGTTGTGGTTGAGACTTCAGTCACAACAGAGTCCCCTGACGATGAAAATGGCCAGGCCACGGTCTCTGTTCGTCCCACTGAGACTACCCAGGCTTTCAATGGTCAGGAAACTGTACTTGTTTCACCTGGTGATACCGAGCCGACAGCGGATGACTCTGCTCCTACAACTACAGCCGTTCCCTCTATTATTGGACAAACCTCTGGTGATGCCACCTCAGCAGTAGCAACCGATGCCGGAAGCGTTGATACTGAAACTGCCCCCATCCCGATTGACTCTAAAGGTCCCCCCACCAGTACTGTTCCGAATCCGGACCCAGCGACTGACTCGCAACCCGCGGAACAACCAGTCACCGACAAGACCACAGCCTTGGGCTCTGACAGCACTTCAGCTGTAGGCACTCCATCAGAGGGCACTCAGACAGAGGAAGACAATGGAGCTCATACAACTACCCATGGCGAAGATGCTACCTCTAAGCCTACTACCAATTACCCGGATACATCGTCTGCCCAGGTCTCGCCAGGCAATGATCAATCCTCTAACGTCAATACAGTCACTACAGCCAGTGCCACCGCTACACAAACCAGAAGTGACGATACCCCTACTACAAGCAACGCAGGTGATGATGGTCCAACTACCAAAGCACAGAGTGACGATATCCCACTTATTACACAAAGCCCGGGAACCACCGCCAATGATGCCAAACCTGCTCCTACCATAACAGACGCTCCTGATGGACTGGCCCCAACGACTGTCGGAGGTCATCCCGAGTGGGTATCCAACACTTGGATCACAACCACCGGTGACAATTCCGAGACTACTGTTGTCCCAGTCCTTGTTGGTTGCCCTGGGTGCGGCGGGAAGGGCTCAGGCATTGTCTTATTCGGGTTCCCTAAGACAACGGGTACTTGGTTTAAGCTGCCTGGCCTTCCTAAGTTCAAGTTCCCTTGCATACCCCCCTTCTGCACTACTAGCCCCGATACGCCCAGAGAAGGCGATGACGGCGATGATGATGATGACGATGACAAGTCTTCCGCTACAACATGTACTGATAAGGCAACTGTTACCGACTGCTTCGTTGCTTGTACAACCTATACTGGGCCAGCTGGCAGTACCATCACGGCAGAGTGCAAAACAACCTGCACCAAGACACACACAGGATGTGATGTGGTGGGAACTACCACTACCTCATCTGCTGCAGCATGTGGACCTTCAGGAGACAGCGCATGCCAGTCCTGTGAGCGAAAGCTGGTGTCTGAGGTACAGCCCGAGGAGTCTGAAGAAGGTACCGAGGAGGACTCAGATGAGAACGACCTTGAGAAAAGAGCCCCGAAGAAGAAGAAGAAGCCCTTCGTCAATGTTGGAGGTTGTGGGAAATTGGCCAAGAATCCCAAGTTCCCCGAATATCTCGGTGGGCCAACGATATTGAACTTAGATGAGAATATCATCCCCAACGACTCCCCATTGAAAGACATCAAGAGATGGTGGCTCACCACTATAGACGAAAATTGCAGCCCAGGAATAAATGGAAATCTTCCCGCGACCAAATTCAGTTCGCGTCTGAATGGCGGCACCGCTTCGATCGACCATGTCTACGAGAAGAGTATGCTCTTGGACTATTTCAAGCATATCATTGACACCACCGGCCCTGATGTCAAGGGAGCGACTGATAGTTCTCCTCGAGATAAGATCAGCTGCAATGACATAAAGGCTTATGGTGGCGCGAATGCCGACAGCAACGATAACCTTTTACAGAAAGTATTCGATGCTTACCCTGGAGTGAAGAAGAGCTCGGACAATAACAACCCTACTGCCGTCGAGAGCCCCCAGTATCTTGATGACTTTATAGGGATGGACCAGTGGACTAATGGCGACGCGAAGGTAGGACTCAATTCCAATGAGATGGACTCTGATCTTAGAGCTCGATCATGCTAACTTTGTGATCTAGGGATTTGTGGCCAATGCCGAGGATGTACTGGCTCAGTGCGACAAATTGGTCGAATCCGTAATCGATGTCAAAGTTGACACATCTCAAAGCGATGCTGAAACCCGGATTGAGAGGAAACTCGGCAGACTCGAGAAGATAGCTATCGGTATCGCGATGTTCAGTGTCTCCGAAGCAAAGGAGGCTATGATAAGACAAAACCACCGAATTCACGCCAGACTGTAAGTGTTTTTATCAGACCCGGTACTCTCTTCGCTGACACTGGTGAAGTATAGATATCGATAACAACGCTAAGGGCTGTATGGATGACCCTGCAGTAAAGAACGGTATCTGGTCATTTGCCAAGGCGTACAAAACCTTCATGGCTAGTAGATTCGACGGTACAGAGACCTGGTCTATCAACAACGCTGCCGATTACGGGAAGACTAAGCTCATTGAGAAATTGACGTCCGACTTGGCCGCGGCTTCCAGTGTAGCTGGGGCGGACAGCCCGCAATGGCAAGCCAAGATTGGGCAGTGGAAGGCTATGTTCAAGAAGATGACTGATTCCACCGTGTGGGCAGTTCCGGTACCTGACTGGACTTGGGAGACAACAGTTGCCAAGCGAGATGGCGATGGACTCTCCTGCAAGCGCCCTATCCCAACCTTTACTTCTTCTGAGGAGCCTACTACTTTAGGGGAGCCAACTACCTTTGCCACTTCTGTTAGAACGACTTCAGAGGGTCCAAACACCGAGGAGCCGTCTTCAGAAGAACCAAGTTCAAGTCAGACGACAACTTCGTCATCTGTCAAGCCAGGCCCAACGATCGGCCAACGTCCCGGCTGGTTGACAGATGCTCCCACTCTGACCGACCGCATCTCCCCTACCATCTCGACCCCTGAGGGTTCCTCTTGCACCAAGACAGTCACTGAGACTATGTGTAACCTGGGAACAGGCAGACACGGCCCAGCCTGTGTAACTCATTCTCGGTGCGACTCGTGGGTCAACACCAAGACCACCAGCAAACCAAGCCCCAGCCCTACCTTGGCCAGTCCCAAGTTCTCCGAGAATATTCTCCGCTGTAACAAGAGTGGCCAGGCTTCAAACCCCAACGCCATCTCTTACGCTGCTCAATCCTTCTGTCGCGACATAGTTGCAAAAAATAAGAATAACGGCTACTATTGGTCTAATGATAGGCTTGAGGGGAAGAAGGTGCCGTCGACTGGGTATCACTTCCAGCTTGATTTCTCAGTCAGGAAGAACTGTCTTTGGAAAGCTAATTACGATGAGTGTATGAAGTACATGAACGTTGCTATCGATGGTTGCAATGGCCGTAGCAAGTCGGACAAACTGGGTGGATGGGTTCGGGATAACTGCATTGAGGCTATTATCAACCCCAAGCCTGGCATTTAGATCTTCTTAAGCCTTAAGTAAGGTCTGGTCTCTTATGTAATAATTTAGATTGGACAACATGGACTTCTTAGAGAGATAGGTTGAAGATAATTAAAGACTGTGACAATAGAAAGGTGCTATTTAGACTATCTGTTATTATTTCTTATTTAGTTCTCAACCAACCGCTCATCGCGGGGTGTAATCAATAACCTGCGTCATACCAATGCTGGGGCTCTTGCCGTTAGCGTCTTCGGTCATGCTATAGAACTTGCGTGTTGAGTCGACGTCGGACTGCTGGAGCTGCGGCGGTTCATTGCGGTAGTTCATGACTGACATGGGATCAGGTGCATCGATACGGACAGCCTTCTCGCCCTCTCTATCCGCAGTCATCTCGTCACGCACGTCCCCGATGGCAAATTCATGTCGTAGGCCGAGGACATGTCCAAGCTCGTGCATAAAGACATTCCACACTGCAAATCGTCAGCAGAAGCAATCTATGTCAAGGCTACTAAAGGACTTACTGTGTGGCTTCCATTCTTTGCTGAATGCATAAGAGTACACAAACACGTAGTTGAGATCCTCGCCGTTGGGGAAGAAGGCTCTGGCGAGGGTTGTACCATTGGCACCACCATGGGTCAGAACAAAGGTAGCATCCTTGGCCAGCGGTACCCATTCGAAGGTCACGCCAACATTAGCCTCATTCCATTTCTGTGCAGCAAATTCGAGCTGCTGGGCAGCGTAGTCGGCGTCCTCTTGACTTTTGAACCCGGCTCTCCAGGCCGCCCACTTGATAACTGACCCAGGAACCCAGCGGGGTATGTGGTCTTTCAGCCCGACGACTATATCCCACAAGCCGTTCTGTCGATCCATGGCTTCTTGAAAAGCCGGGGGAATGGGTAGCTGAGTGATACATACTGGAGCCTCAGTGATTGCAGGGCCTTTGACATCTCCGTCGATGTTGGAGACATCAGTTGGGTCAATGGTCTGGAGATAATCGGCTCCGAGTGTCTGCTCAACAGCGTCAAGGAGAATCTCCTTAGCAGAGGGTCCTTGAGTGCCCATTGTTGAACTGAAGTCAGTGCCACACCACTGCAATTTATCCAGCTTGTCTGATTTTGTGGTTGGAAAGAGTGAAAAGAAGGGGGAAGATTGGTCTGAAAGGGTATGCTAGAGATTATGGGGGGCATGTTTGGCCATGAAGGGGGATGCTTGTTATATAGTGAGGTGCTTGATACTTCGCAAACCCATATCCAATAGCTCCTTGTCGCTATCTGGTGGGGTTCTTGGCAAGCCATCTGCGGCTGATGGTCTGGATTCTGGGCTAATGCTGAGACATGGCTATAACGATCAGCGAACTCATTAGCTCACAAAAAGGTCAGCTTTATCAGTAACGTTCAGAATGCCAAGCCACAAAAGTTTTTGCATCGTGTCTTATTAGTGAGTACTTGATTAAACGATTTCATAGAGGGATATTGTCGTTTCTACGGCAAATAAGATGCTTTGCGTGCCCCCGAGACTGGACGAGAGACGGTTTTAGTGATGTTTACATATCCACAACCGCAATAAGACTATGCAAGCCGGTGCAGCATTTGAAGCGCTGGGGATAGTCTTTCCTTAGCAGGTCAAGGCGTCATGCAGCCAGCTACTGATATTGCCAAGCACCAATAAGGTGAACAAGTGCTAGATTTGCGTCGTTGTGACTCTCTTTTGCCAAAAGTGTTTGCCTGCATACTAAGACTAGTGCCGTCCTCTTCTGGCTCAAGGACGAACAAATGTGATAGCGGCGTTGATGAGGCTGGCTGAAGCGCGTAGAAATGTGATACTAGGGACTCCACATAACGCGGGGTAGCCAAGTGGGGCCGTGTTGAACTATTGATCCCAGCGCAGTAGAACCTTATCGATTGGCCTTTCCGTCCCAACAATCTACTTAAAACAGATGCATCTAGATTCTCTTAGGCATGAACTATTTGTTCAATATCGGTACCTTTCCATAAAAAGACATAATTGTCTCACCACTTCTTTCAGCTCCCATATAGCAATAACGCTTTGCAGAAGTGGCTCTAGACAGTTACGTACGTGGATGTCTGCGATATGCCAATTTACGAAGGCTTAGACAATTGACTCTTACGAATCTAGAGTCAAGACGCCGGAAGGAGATAAAACTCCGTGATCTTCAGCTTCTCATCTGCCACCGGCGCTATGTCGCGGATCAACGATTTGCAGGTTGGTGAACTCCGCACGCATTACCGATGTTTCACCTGAGCTCGCCACATTCATTGCATGTCACATGGATTAACCCAAAGAAGTGTATCGCCCTCAACAATACACGCAAATGATTAGTGATAGTATCAGTGTTGTAGAGCACAAGATAAGAGTCACACGAACCATAACTATAAAGATCAGACTGCGTACTGCACGAACATCGAGATCACCATTCGACTTCTCTACAATAACACTATATCAATCTTTCTTCCATAAGCCACCATGCGTGTCCGTCGTTCTCTTCAAGAACTTGTCAGTCTTTACGACAGTGGTGATAGAACCCAGCTAGAGAACCTCGTCAGGGCATTTCGCAAGATCCAAGCCCTTCCCGTTGATGATCCTGACTCCTTCTTCGTCATTGCCGGCTATCACGGCGAGCCTTTCGTCAAGGAAGATCCTACAAACCCCGATTGGTGGGGTGGATACTGCCAGCACCAGACCGTTCTCTTTCCAACCTGGCACAGAGCCTATCTGTATCGTCTAGAGAATGCACTCCGCAATGCTTTGCCTGAGGCCCCAGATCTGGCTTTGCCGTTCTGGGACGAGTGTGTCACGCACGGAACGGCCGAGAATCCGATCCCCTGGTTCGTGACTGCTCGCGAGCTGCCTTTCCCTGTTGATGGCAAGACAGACAACCCCTTGTTCTCGTACACGCTTCAGAAGGGCCTAGAGGACAACCATAGCACTAGGGACGTGAGCCGGTACACCAAGCCTGCCGGTTATACGACCGTTCGCTACCCACTTTCCGGCCTCGTTGGAAACCCCGCCGACAAAATCGATACCGACAGGCACAATGCAAAGTACATGGATCATAAGACCAACACCAAGATCCTCAATTCCAATGTCAAAGCCTGGTTGGATGGTACGGTCAAAATCACACCCGACGGCGATCCTGATACCACACTTCCCGACACCTACTCGGTCTATTCTCGCTTTCAGATCTGCCTCAAGGCGCCAAACTACACCGTAACAAAGCCTCCATGGCAGAATGGATAATTGAAAATCATGGCAAGCCGCACTACGGTGTCGCCCTCGAGGAGCCACACAACGCCATTCACCTTGCGCTTGGCGGCTTCTACGAGAAAGGCAATTATAACGCCGATCCAATCCTTGGTGCTAACGGTGACATGGGCGAGAATGAGACAGCCGCCTTCGACCCCATCTTCTACCTCCACCACGCCTTCATTGACTATACCTTCTGGCAGTGGCAGCTCCGTCATGACAAGACAGCCAATGGCAGTCTGACAGTTGAGGCTGGCAAGAAGGGCACCATTAGCCTTGGTGACCCAACCTTCCCCAAGGGAACAGCTCTGGGTACAAACAGTCCATTGGATCCTTTCAAGAAGCCTGGCGGCGGTTTCTATAACTCGAACGATGTGACAGACATCAATGAACTTGGATACAGCTATGGTCCTGGCTCGCTTGACAACGATCCAGCCCGTTTTGAGCCACCTACTGAGCCCATTGCTAATATCGCGCGGGTGCACAATGTCAGTCGTGCAGATTACGCCGGATCCTTCGTCATCCGCACCCATGTTGAACTGCCTGGTGGTGAAAAGGTTGAAGTCGGGCGCGAGGCCGTGCTCAGCCGATGGAACGTTGCAGCATGCCGCAATTGTCAGGATCATTTGGACGAGAACTCATTCATTGCTATCGATGACAAGACAATGGAAGTGTTGAAAGGCAACGCTGACGATAAGGAGAAGATCAAGTTCCACGTTCAGATCCAGTCGCGTGAGTTTAGTGGGGATAAATTACAGGAGCCTGTGAAAGAGCCGATAGTGGAGTTTTTGTAGATATCTGGTGGAAGATCTTGTGGAGCAAGGAGATATGAGACTTCACAAGAGGATGATGCTGACATTAGCTTAGTGAAGAATCCTCTAAGCTTAGACTAAATTACCTAAGTCTTTTTATAATTCAGGATCAAGGTCCTGGGACTTCTTTCCTCCTATATGGAGATCAGAAGGGAGGCGATTAGCTCCTCTATTAAGAAGATGTTTGGTGTTGAAGATAATTCGCCAAAACAATAGCACCATTCATCACAATGAACATAGATAAGTTAACAAATGCAACTTTTTGGGTATTGATAACACAGGGATCTATCGACATTGCCAGCTGGATATCTTCTTAGGATTGCCGCCAACATATGTCTGTGTCTTAGGGTACAAACAATGCTTACGCTGAAAGTCGATCCCGTTCGTGGTAGTGTCGTTGATGAACTTTGTACCAGTCAAACTCGCAGGCGCTTGGCCCTTCTCAACCCAAGCCACCATAGCCGCCAATACATTATGCTGGGGGTCAAAAGGGATCCCCGCGGCAGGGGCACCGCCGCCCTGACCAACAGCCCAGGCGCCAGGACCAGAGTTGCAGTGGAACATGCCCGACATGCGGAAATAGCGATAGTAGTCCTGCAGGTCGTTATCCGCAGAATACATGCGGTTCCAGAAGCGCTGAGTGTTGAACTGGGTGATTTGGTTATCCTGGCCACCGTGATAGCTCAGTAACTTTCCACCGCGCTTCTTGAACTTGGGGAGTTCTTGAGGGTAAGTTCGGATGTCGAATGGGTTCAGCTCATCCGCCTTTCGGGCATCATCCGTGTCGTAGGTGCTGGCATCCCAGTTGGGGTCGTTGTATACAACGTAGCGGAACCAATCCTCGGAATAGCTGAAGGGAGTGCCTGCGATGAGCTTGGATACGGCCTGGAGTTCATTGCCGGGGTTCATGCGAGGAAAGATGAGCTTGCCGTTGGGATAAGTATAGGGAGCGTAGATCTTTTGCAGTTGAGCAACTTGAGCCGCGTTCAAGCAGTTCTTGGGACGTCTGGGGCTGCATTGAAGAGTCTTGGGGTTGAAGAAACACTTGTCCGGTACCTCGATAATTCCATCCTCAACGCCGTCAATCTTGTCACACTGTCGGAGAACTTCGTCATGGATTAGGCCTTTCCAGGTGTCAATGGGTATGTAGTTGGGTGAGTCTGCAGAGCCTGTGATCGGGTAGAACATAGCCCTCTGGCCTTGAAGATTGTTAAAGTCAACAGCTGGGCATCCAGCTACGATTCCGTCATAGTCTTTAGGATACTTCTCTGCGGCCTTGATGCCCATACGACCGCCCAGCGAGCAGCCGATATAGTAATTGCGAGCTGATGACTTGCCGTAAAACGCTTTAATGAGCTTCTTGGCAGAACGAGTGCCAGTGTGCAGACTTTGATGTTCAGCTACTGATTCTGAGGAATACCAGGGTACTTACGCTCTGTAGGAGAAGTCCTTGATGATTTCAGGGTTGTTCAGCATGGTAATACCCGTAGTACCATTATGGCCGTTGTTGGTACCCATGGTGGCGAACCCATTTGTTGTGCCATAAGCAAGATCCTCGTACTTGATACCTAAAGGTCTTGGGTCAGCTTTGCGACAACTTCAAGCTTGTCTGCTCATATTTTACTCACATCCATCAATTCCACCATTACCAGTTGCCAGATACCTCGATCCCTTCCAGTCACTGGGCAACCAGAGCTCGAAGCTGATTGATGACCGCTTTGAGGTAGGAATTTGGAGGGCAATTCGACAGAGGTCGACAGTGACGGCCTGGGAGGCGCGGTTGCATGTCGGGACGTTGTCTGATAGCTGCAACGTTGTACCAGCAGAGATAAACTCTTGTCGGGTCAGGGTAGAATTGCGTATGTGCTTTGTCGGCTTGAAGGCTAGACATCTGTGGCGGAAGTCCCTATAGTCATCATGACAAACAACAGTAGACACCAAGCAACTGAGTACAACGAAACACCAGCATAGGTGCAGTAGGAAAGACATTATTGCTTTGCTTTCCTTGACTTGTACCCAACCCGTCAATGCTGAATAACTGCGGCTCAGCCTCGAGTTAAAGAAGCAACGATAAAAAGAGGGAGGGATGAGATGGGATGACGAACAAATGTCTCTCGGTGACTAATCCTTGTTCCGCCGAAATTCCCGAAGGATGACTAGGATAGGTCTTGGCAGGGAGTAATCTTCATAGGCGAGGTGCAGGGGCGCGGCGCAGATGCTGCAGTTCGTGCTCCCCGAGATTGAGGCGGAGATGGAAGATGGAATCGGACGATGATGACAGGATTTTAATCGGGCGCAGCGGGTTTCCTTGTTGGTCCACATGTAAGCACTAAGGAAGTTTATTTCCGGTCCCTTGGAACCAACAGCAGGGACCGCGATAAAATGCACTGAGATTCATGAGCCTCTAACAATATGCTGATTAATTTTCAACAGTGGTTTTGTACTGTTGATTCTCATTTCTCAAGGCTTGAAGTTACAAGATCCAAACCTTCCAGACCCCCAACTTCCCCACGAGTTATTCGTAGGTACCAGCGTAGCTCAGAGCTTGCCCCGCTGTCTCTATCGAAGCACGGGCTTCAATTCAATCGGACGGGATGTGGCATTTAGCTTGACGTTGGACAGAGATCGTGGGTCCCGTCGGGAAAGAGAACGGTGGACACAATTAGTTCATCTTGGCAACGTGGAAAAAGCGAAATACCTAGACTTATACGCGGTTTAAAGCCAGCGAAGGACTATTGGTGGGATCAGACTGCCCGCAAATAAGCCAAGGCGGCACTATGACCCCCGTGCGGATACTAAATTTGACAACAAGTCATGGTGGTAAACATGCTTGTAGCGGCTGAGCAGGAAGATAACGAGACGAACTTCCTGGACTCGCTTGCTCCACTCAGGTCTTATGATAACGGTGATTTTTTATGCCCGGATGTAATAAAAAAAAAAAAAAATCTTACATCTGCATCTTAACTGCCTTTGTAGTGCTATGCAGCTTGACGATTGTGTCATGAACGCCATTTTTGATACAATGGCAGAAGTCAGGCTGAAATCCAAGGTCTTATTTATCCCCAATACATTGTAGTAATATCTCTCCATGTCCAAACATATTCTACACATTTTCATGCTTTGTACTGGCATGGCGACCGGGCACAAATAACTCTTCAGTGCTGCGGTCTCTGCTCTGCAACTCGATGTTTAATACTTCCGTCTTGGCTGTCCCAATCTTGCTGAAGCCTTGACGATCAGCCCTTCGTATTTGGCTTGCGGTTGAGGCCATAGCACCTGAGCTGTCCATTCTAGTTTTTCGTGTTCGTGAGGTACTCGTGACGGTCGTCGCTATTCCGCTAAACACAACCTGGAAACAAGGGCGCATTGTCATGATGGTAGACACAATGACGGCCGTGAATATCTCAGCCATGGCGAGAGTATTTGGCGTAGTATTGTACCCTAAAGTTGTTAACATAACGGAAAGCATCGGGATGGGGAATGGACATACAGTGAGGATCGGTAGCAGCTCCCTCGTTCGGCACGTAGATCATCACAACGCGAACCACAGCACAAGCCGTATGTCTAGTTCGTCAGCTTGTCAACTTAAAGCCCTTCCATCGATAGCTGCGTCAACTTACGCAAGTCCCAAGGCAATGAGAAAGAGGAATTGCCATATCTCCTTGTTCCGATGCCCCGTTGACAGAAGAGCAGGAAACGGTATCAAAACTAGCAAGACGGACGTAAAAGAGTTGATGTAGGCATTTGCTACACGGAATTTGGTGTTGTCGATGCATGTACCGTCGAGATCGCCTTGCCAGGCCTTACGAATCGGGTTGCATTGGAAAGTCGACACCAGAGTGCCGCCAGTGTAATAGGCGATGATGACGCCCATCAGTGCAAAATTGGCATACCGTGCAATTTTTGTACTCAATAGAACAGGTTTGCTGAAGATGTTCATATAGATAGTACAAATAGAAAGCTTGATCACGCCTGCTGTCGCCTTGAAAAAGACCTGGTTAAGCCAGAAGCACTGTCCTTGTTAGTGGCGGGATTGAAGGAAACGGAGGTCAGGCGAAATCTACAATTTTGGGCGTTAAAGCTTTCTGGATCTCCGGCGGCAGATCATCTTTGTGATAACCATAGCCCCATCGAAAGTATGCTGACACTTTGTTAGAGGTGTTTCGTCAACGAGCTCGCGACACTTACGGTCTAGGTTGAAGCCAGCGAGACATATGCTCAAGGACTGAATGATTAGTATGTGATAGAGAATAATAAGATGGGCTTACTTACTAGACCAACTATCAATAGGTAATCTGGCAGTCCAATGACCTTTTTCCAGAGACGCCAGGATATTCTCCATGTGACTAAAATAGTAGCACTAGCCAGCAACGTAAGCGTCACGGCTTTGAGCTTGGCCGAGTTGTTAGGCCCTTGGTAGTACTGCGACATGGACGTGTACTGGAAACTGCAGCTTCAAAGAAGACAGTTCAAGGCAAAACGGAGAGGAGACCAAGGAACCGGTGCACCTTTATTTAAAACGTAACATGCATGCGCACACTGCCTGCAGCAGTACATTACAAATAAACAGCCCATTTGACATTTAACCTTAAAGCCGATGAGAACTTTGTTACGGTTGACAGGGTATTGCCACACACGACAGATGCTGGATCTGCATCCTGGTAGGAGTTCGGACGAGACCATCAATCTGTGACTCGGCAGCCTCGGTTATTTGCATGGATCTTTGCATGCAGATTCTTTTGTATTGCTGCAATACGACGCACCGGAAAAGGGAAACCTCCTGTATAATGCATGGTGATTTAGTTCAGCAAGACTGGAGGTGATTGGGTTATTTGGCGGCTCCAAGTCATGTCCATCTATGATACACTTCCTCACATAGCAATTAACGGCCACCTTCAGACTGAACTTTTTGCCACAATCTTAACCATATCACTCACGTTTTTAAGTTGTCTTATTCCCAAAGATTCTAAATCAGCTTCTTGCAGCCAGAGTGCCAAGATTCCACCACTATCCTGCACAATATTAGTCATTAAACCTTAAGTGCCACACATTTCTTTACCAACAAGGCGGGAATTTGGTGTTGCCCGAGCTCTTCACCCTCGACCGTTGCCAAGCCCATGGAACCTACAATCTCTTTCCTCTGATCAGATATCGGGTTCGGGTTAATTGTCGCCGATACACAGGCATATCTCCTCTACCATTGGCCGCCCACTTCCCTTCTGAAACTCGCTTGCCGGTAATCGGCTCCCCATTGCTTGGCACCTTTTTTCATGAGACTCATTGCGCCAATCATATTAATAAAGCGTGAGTCTACAAGTATTCCCCAGCGAACCAACAGAAATTTCAACAGGCCACACTCGTACAGTATGGCTGGGGTCAGAGGTTATTCCGGCCAAGCATGTAACCTTCTTGAACCGGCGTCGCTTCCGACATTCCTCATCTAGTATAGACACTGCACAGGGACTAGGGACGGGACGGAAGGAAGGCCCCGCCGAATCTGCTCTAACAATCAACGGCTCTGGCCTCTAAAAATTAGGACAATGTATGCAGTACAGAGTTGAGGGCTCCCATATTCGCCGGCATTAGCATCGATAATTATAGGAGTAGTACCCATGAATGTCTACCTACATAAGCATGTACTTGATTTTTTGAATCCAACAAGGGTAAGGGTAAATTAAGATATAGTTTACTTTCTATTCTATATAGGTATCTATATTCAGTCCTTTCTATTATATAGAGAGATTATTTTGCATAATTATAGTTTTCTTTATAATTCTATACTATAGGGCTGCTGGTGTTATTTTTAATATTCCTAACTATCTAGACTTTGCCTTCAGCCAGAGTTGACTACCATGGCGGGACTGAGCCACAACTTCACAAGGTACCCTATACCTAACCTCTACCTACATTGCTGCCTTCAACATGTCATGCCTCGCTGCACCTGGAGCTTATATGTACTCTTCCAAACCCTAACACGCTGTATAGCTTCCAGGTGCAACAGGCATACCGTTTGACCATCTTCATGATCCGTCAGATAACCAAACAGTAAACAATAGATATTTCTCTTAACAAGGCACAAGCATCACGAGAAAGCTCGCGACCTGCAATTATGGCAAGACGCGCAAAACAAGAAATATTGCATGCTTATAAATAACGCCAGAGTTGATACAAAATATAAGCTCAGCATTGCAACTGAAATGACGACAGCCATAGTAAAATTTCCAATAGAATGAATCCCGATGATTCGACAGCTGACCTATCACAATTCTGCACGAGTGTCAAAGCTAATATCTAAAGGATGTGTCTCAGATGCGATTGACATTATTTGGCCAATTGAAACGTGCGCGCTGGACACAAAAGTAGCTTTGGAAGTCAATTGGTCTATTTACGCAACGATCAACAGCTGTGGCATTAATTAACTGCTAGTGTCGAGCTGAAATGCCTTGACAACAAACACAATCAGTCTAGTGCTGTTGATCAAGTGTTGGGACAAATGCCACGTCACAGACTGTCTTATAATTGACGTCAGCGGCATTTGCTGAGGATACACATATATGCTGCCGCTTGCTTCACTCCACGCTGCCTATTGTTCGTCATTCAATAACCCAGCCTCTTGAATTCTCATTTAAGTCACATCTCTTACCATGAACCCAAACACTGAAGTTGTCGATGGCGTACTTGTAACCAAGTGCGATGTATGTGATCCCAATCGGAACAACGGATCCCATTCCTTATTACTAACTGCTCACAAGTATCCTGAACCGACCGAAGAGTGGACAAATGATTACCAACAAATGGGTGGTGACGAGGTTTGGGGTGAAGGCGGTAAAGTCTCAGAGGTTCTAGAGCGTCACGGGTTGAGTGGTGATATCAAACCGCTCTTTGCCCTGGATGCCGAGTCAGGAGCGCCATACACATTGTTCGAGCTGGGCGGAACGTTCTATTTCTTTACTGCATCTGATGATTCTCTTGAACGCATCACTTATCCTACAGCACTTGGGGAAATTTTAGGATATATTGGAGATCCAGATGGCGGACTTAACGATATTTCAACAAACCCAGTCTAGAGCCCTATAGTCTAGAGAATCAAGGCAGGAGCTTACATAAAGAGATCATGAAATGTTTGTGGTACTACACTCTTCCCCCCCATATTGACGACTCTTTTTACTAAGTCCTTGGCGGCAATATACTTCTTTGACCTCCCTGTAATAACTAAGGGATTAGCTACAAGCCTCAAAAAGGTTGGGCGATATCACTACCTAAATTGGAGGTGCTAATAACATGGTGACTTAACTAACTCTATTGAGCCTATTGATTCATCTATACTTCTTCAAAAAAACTCTACTTGTATTATCTTTTGGCTAGTATAAAGATATATTTTTTACTAGTATTAGGAACTTAAATTTAGCAGCTCTTTATCTAATAAGTATTATAATTTATTATACTACTCTACTGTCCTTAGTTACTGCTAGATTATTAATTTTATCTCTGCTTTCACTCTATTCGCTTTCATCATCGCTGCCTTCAGTTCCTGCATTCTTAATCGGCGCTTGATGATCAGCTACTGATCTTGTTTCTATAACCCTCGATTTGAGTCTAGAAGTAAAGAATGGGTGATTGTCAGGAAGATCCCGATTCTCAATTAGGTATCCCATCGGCGTGTGCGTAATATCAGATGACCGAGACCGATATGGAATCCACTCGCTTAGGAACCTTGAGAGCGATTGAGGGCTGAGAATACCGAAATTGGGAAGGATGTGTTTTCTGACATGATGAACATCATCAATTATTACCAAAGGTTCTGCCCTTTCGTCAAATTTGAGGCAGCTGCGTAGCTGCGTATACTGATCGTAAGGAAGATACAATCGACCGGCCATGAGTCCGATCTCAATGCTCAGCCAAGAAGGGATCACAAGTTCATTCTTTGGAGTCGGTACCGGATAGTACGCAAGGGTGCCAACCTCCAAAAGAGATCTTGTAAATGGGGATGTGTACGTAAGAAGAAAAGTCGTGGGGGTTTGTATCCTACGGAGTATTGGAAGAAGGAGCTCAGCCTCCTCAGGAATCACGACTAAGGCTGTTTCGATATCAGGTCTCCAGAGTACCCATTCAACTGGTCGCTATACGTGCATCGTTAATATATCTAGTCTAAAGAGAGTTGCTAGATGGCTTACCATAAGATGACGGGAAACCTCAGCCTTCCGGGTTTGAACTGTTCTAGAGAACTCCTTAGAGACCAACAGTTTCGAGGAAGTTCCCTTGACACCATATTTAAGTCCAAGACAGGTATTGCCAATTAAGTCAAGAGCTGAAATAAAATGCAGGCTAGCCAGCTCTACTTCAGACTCATCACAAAATTGGACTAGGGCATTGTCGAGGCCAGGAAACGTAAGTGCCGTAAGATGTGTAGGGTTCTGCTTCTCACGAAGCTGATGAACCTCAAATTCAACTTCTCTTTCCTGCTCCACCTCATCAAAAGCTGAGGAACATGCTCTCCTTTGGTATTTGACTAGATCCGCCTCCAGCTCATGTAGCTCTTTGACAAAACTTTGTAAATGTGTTGAATTGAATGCTTTCAAAGCGGTTGACGATGTTCTCCCCTTTGGCCCATAGAGCTGTTCCAATGTCTGTCCCTCGGGCTGTTGAGTTTCCTGGAGGAGCTTGTCTCTCTTCTTCTTTTTCTGTGAGGACTTTCTAAACTCCAATAGAGCATCTGTACGTCTGCAAAAGTCGAATCCTTGGGCGATGTGCAAGGACATCATATTGTCACTAGCCTCGCAACTTTGCTCCAGGAGCCAGTGGACAATGTCGGTAGACTTCAATGGTTGCGAAGCTGCAATTTTTGGTCTATGGGCGGATCGAAGAGACAGAACACTTGTATACACCTCGGGGGGGGCAATAAATGCGATTGATTGCGTTGTCGCGAGTTGTCTCAATCTCATTGCAGCTATGATGGTTAGCCACATACGACTTACTGATTGTTTTATGCCCTTACCTTGCGTTACCTGGTCTTTAGTCGAACCAATTCCCAATGTCACGGCTCCCTGGGCATATATTGGAAGCTTCAAGTCAGTCCCGCGCGTGTGAGCCTCGTCGATATAGACTACACATTCGTTGAGATTGTCTACAAAGGAACTAGCCAGAAGTGGCACGGGAGACTTTTGGAAACGAGCTCGTACCATAATACGGCTGTCTTTAGCAAAATACACCGCCCCCTGGGCTTTGTGATGGACATCAAGCCAGGCCGCAGCCAGTTGGTCGTTCTCCATCTCAAGGATCTGGGCCCCCGCGTCTATCAAGATATTGATCCCGTTGTTCTGGAGCAGTTCCAATATCCCAATCTCATTGAGATGCCGTCCGTGTGGATCAATAGCTTGATAGCATCTTTGGTTGCGTGGCTCCAGCAGATGTACCAGAACTTCAGCGTTGGTTTGTATGAGAGTGGACAGATCGTCTTGACGAATCGTACGCGGCAGTATGTTTTTGTTGTCATTGGTCCCACTGAACCCTGTTGTCATACCTTGCCGTATCATACTCTCGGATAGCAGGGGGATGTCCCAGGCTGAGGCTTGGAACTTTACCCCAAACTGCTTGGCGTGTTGTGGAAACGCAAAGTTATTCAAGAAATGATTGACGACATGCTTCTCGAACCTTAGGTATTGCCAGAGAAGAGTGACCTGAGCCTCGTCTTCCATCTCCAGCTGATGCCAATGTTCAAGGTGTTCAGGAAGGTGTCTTGAGGCCGCAAAGCGTTGATAGTGTGAGGAGGGATCTTCAGAGTTGCTGATTAACTGAAGACTCTGGAGAAGTTGAGATTTGTTCAAACCAGCGTGGTAAAAGCTCAAACATGTGAGAACAAGCGCCGTATCTGGGTGACCGTACTCGGCAGTTTGCGAAGGGATTCCTTTAGCTTCGAATGGCACTGCGATGGGAGCTCTGTCCGGATGAAGACCGTACTGAACATTCCACGACTTCTTCAGACAGAGAATCAACAACCGCTGAGGAATGAGCCCGTGAAGAAGATAGAGAGTCTTTCTACCATAGGGTTCATCATTCAATGACCCAATTGCATCTCCCCAGATAGATGCGGAAGGTTGAGTAGTTGAGAGTAGCAGTTTGACGGGGCTTGTGGCATCCAGGTTATTATCAGCTTTGAATTGAACATGTGAGAGTCGACCATGACAGACATCATCCACTAGAAGAGCGTTAAGATGGTCTTCCACCTCAGAACGCAGGAGGTGAATGACAGGAAAGCCCCGGTGTCGTCGCCATACCTGCATCCCATCTTTAAACTTGGCCTGAAGTTGGGGTACATGGGATTCAACCAAATATAGCATATCTTCGATAACATGCCATCGTTGAGGATGACCATCAATCATGGTGGGTATACCGCTTGGATATATCAGCTGAGTCTTTGGCGAAAGAGTGAGATCAGACTCATCGAGGACATCTCTACTCGATGATTCCAACCATGCTTGGATGTCCATCATTTTTTGCGCTTTCTTTGCTTCTTTGTCGGCCAGCTTCTGGAGCCCACTTAGCTTGAAGGAAAGTAGGTGTTCTGGCAAGCACAGCATGACTCCTCCTGATGCGAGAGTTCTCTTGTGAAGACTTTGGTAAAGGTCTAGAGCCTGGTCATCGGTAGGTGATCGTCGAGCAAAGGGTATGTGGCAAACTTCTCGACCAACCAGCCCACCAAGTCGGCTCTGCATCATTTGCGCTGTCTGGAGGAGAAGGGCTCGGGGCACAACCAGTCGGCACAGATTCTTCGTGTCTGCCAACATTATTGCAGCCATGGGCATGATGCAAGAAGTTTTACCTACAGTAATAGTCAGTTCCGCGATTCTTTATGATGTGGTTAGTAACATGTGCAAACCTTGACCCATGTTCATCTGTAAAACAGAATTCGACATCGATGATGGTGAGATGATAGCATTGGCTACTTCGAATTGGACAGGTCGAATCAGCATGTTGCTGTCGATCTCTAAGAGAAGCCATTCTGGGTACTTGAGCGGATTCCAGTTGGAGTGTCCCTCGGCCTCAAAATTCTCCTCCAACCAAATATCATCTCTGCGTAGAATTGCATCTTCTATCCGCAAGTAACGCTGAAGGCGCGTAATAAGCACCCCATACTCTAATATCCTGTTGATTAATGCATGAGGCAATAGCAATCTATTGCCATTCCTTAGCTGTTCAAGAATTGCTACTGGTGAGAAGCAGGGCCAAAGTTGGCCTTTTGAAAACCACGCGAAGCCCTCATCACCTTGTGAAACTGAATGTCCTATTTTATCTTGTTGCTCTCGTAATCGTTGGCGGCAACGAGTAATTTCTCTTTTGACTGAAGCCATATGTGGTCTGCTATGAAGTGATTTTCGACTTTGTTGGGCTAGGGCCAAAGCATTGAGTGACACTAAAAGGTCCTCCCCATAAGCCCGTTGTGACGTAATGGGGGAAGTGACGAGCCTCCGTATGATCCCTTGAAGGGTATCAAACTCCGGTCTTTGAGCTACAGGTAACTCTGAAGCCTGGAACTGAAGATGGGAGCTGCAACTTCTCACTGAGGAGTGATCTCGTTCTTCCAACCAAGATTGAGAGTCCGAATTTGGCCTGTTGTGAATTTTAAGCCTCGATAGCAAATCTGACACCGAAACCTGAGCCATAAGGTGTCCCCTGGGTCTCTCTGAGTTCCTGCCTTTCGGAGGTATTGGCTTTGAAGTCCAGACGTTTTGGTATGCTTTTTGCTCCGTCCTCGATTGATCGTCTAGCAACATGTCTGCTGCGCTCTCCAGTTCAAGGAGATAAACAGACAGCTCCCAATTACACTTGAGTCTTCGAAGCTCGGGGTAGAGCTTCTGCCATGTTTTCTTCAGACTAAAGTCCTTGACATTCGAGGTTAGGCCTTTGACTGATAATTCGAAATCTTGTCGGGAAAGAGGTGGATTTGGCCATATCTTGAGAATGTGAGAGATTATTCTTAACACCGCGTCTTTCTTACGATCGTTCTTGAGCACCGATCCGTTCATATCATTATTGAATGGTTCTGGGAGCACTAGTGACAAAAGCAAATCTTTGGACGGTTCTTCAAAAAGGCGGAAGTTTGTGAACAGGGTATGGCTAGGCGGCTGGATGCGACTCAACCTACTACTTTTGAAGAGTGCTACGAGCCACCTTATGACGACTATGTCAACGTTGTCGTCAAACGCTAACAAAGCTAGGGAAAAATGGTTGTCGTAAGTTCTCGTGGAGTCTTTTTCATGGAGCTTCCGAACAAGTCCCCCCCAAAGTTGTGGCGCTCCAACCTCTAGACTCGCCGCTAAATCGATATCCGATAAGGACTCTTTCATACCCGGAAATGTGTTCCATTTTTCCAAAGTTGGAGCAAGCTTGGGAAGGCGAAATGCGCTAGTAACAGATTCCATCATCGCACGGATGGTTTGATAAACTCGGCAGTTCTTCACAGATGACTTTGGGTCTCGAAGAGGTACAAAGCTATCTGTTTGTGCCGCTTGAGAAAGAACTGTCGAATCAGAATCAAAACAGACACGCTCATAAAGCTGTCTTCGAATAAGGCCTCTGATTCGCAAACGAGCCACAGACGTGTCATATGATACACTTTCTTGCTGAAGTTTTCTCATACTTTCTGTCATACTCAAAATCTCTAGCTCCCGCGACCGACGTTCAATCAGAGTGACCAGAGGAGCTAAGTCTTCATGTTGAATCGTGGAAGTTAAATGCTCATCCCAGCGGACCTTCTGATACAGATTGATGCCTGGGGGGTAAAGAGTTCTCTCTGGTGATAGAGACTTGATGACAGACAGCATTCTCTGTGGAAAGCCCGCCAATGGAGTCCAAGGCTGACTACGAGGCGAAAGCAAACAATGGCGAGCCTCTTCTGTTCCTGTCTTCCCAGTAAATTCATCGAGTAACGGGAAAGAGGTTAGTGCATGTATTGCTGCCTTGAGATAAAGAAGAAGTGGCTCGGGTGCGCAGTCAAGCCGGCCTAGGACAGAGTTCAGTGTGTATTTAGCGTACACTCCTTCATTGAAAATCCTGACAGCGACATGGATTCCCTCTCTCTGCCATTGGAAACTTCCAATTGGGATAATAACACTCCTTCTTTCAGGGTTTGAGGTATCGCGTAGAGTGACTCCACTTCGAAGTCCGTGGAGCGTCCCAAGGTCTTGCCGAGGGTCAACCTCAGCCTTGAGCTGAGGGCAGTGCAGTAAACCTCTCTGGTTGACCTGGAAGCGGATCTCCAAGCGTTTCAGTTCAACGGATAACTCTCCATTGAAAGGTTGGTATATCGTCAACCTCTTGAAGTCTTCAAAGTCTTGGAAGATACTTCCGATTTTCCTCCCAATTTCCGACTTTGGCTCAACAAGGCTGGCTCTCATGTTTCTGGTTGCTCTTCGTTTTCTAATGTCGAGTACCCAGTTCGATAGCTTGCGTCGCCAGATTCGCGGCTTACGACGCATCTCGAGATTTCCAGTAGTCAAGTCAAGCCAGTGCACGCAGTCGTCAACTAGGTCTGCTGGCAAGTCCCAGTCCATGGAACCTTTCAACATGGAACGCGGGACGAATTGGAGAATGGAGCCTCTGAATAGAGCTTTGATTGTTATTTTGCTATCCCGGATGCCAACATGGATTTGGTGCCCTTCCATTTCGGTCAGGACCTGATAGTCCAAGAGTCCGGATGGTCGTGTTAGTAAGTGTCGCTCATCAAAAAGCTCTCTCATAGATTCATCATCTCTGATCTCAAGAGGAAGCCTTCCCAGGGGCTTTTGATCCACTAGCAAGTGGCCTTGTAGGATATGATAATGTACTCTCTGTGTAGCTATTGAGTCACTAGGGGCGGTTTCAGACGAAATCCACCACGAGTGGTTGCCTGGGAGCTTCTGCCACAGGGAGTAAGACCTCTTAGCGAGGCCGTTGGCATTGGCCCATGTCTCGTTAATTGCCTTCTCTAACAGGCCAATGTCGCTGTCCACCCATTTCTCGACAATACTCCTCATCTGATAAGAAGCAGACACGTCTTGGGTAAGAAGATTACGCAAGTGAGTGGGTAGTTTATCCGAACTGTCAAGCAGGTTCTCCTGAAGCGCGATTGACGATCTGAAGAAAGGTAACGGGTCATCTTTGAGCACCGCTGCTTCAAATTCATCATGACCTAAACATCCCCAGAATGTTTGGCGGCAAAGCAACGCGGACCAGAAAGCAAAGATAGCGGCCTTGCCGGCCATGTCACCGTCAAGCGTTGATCTGACCTCATGCTGTAATTGAAGAATCCAGTTTGAGGTGATGGAACGAACTCTTAACAGCAGCTCATGAGCCTGTGTTTCAAATGCCGGCGGACAAAGGTGATATAGCCGAAGACTAAATATCACAACGGTACTCATCCGATCGACTTGTCTCCAATTCTGTTCCATAGTATCCATCCAAGCCTCCAGCCGCTCTTTCAGTCTATAACAGAACTCTTCACTGCTGAACACCCAGTGAACTTCACGCAGCATTCCTACTTCCAGTGCAGCTGGACCGGCCTGCATAGCAAGGTGATGGAAGAAGGAATTTGTAGCTCGACTACTGAAGTCGAAATTGGAAGCTGCCAGTTCCTTCAGAATCTCGAGCCAGCGTCGACCTCGTGCAGAAACCGCTCGCTGTGAGGCACAGAAATCGTTACCAGATGTGAATTGCGAACCCAATGACTCGCTTGCTACGACATCGTAAGAAGAGGGATGATGAAGAATCATGCCTAGAACCCCCCTGGGCGTTTCATATGGATCCAGGATGCCTTGTGGAAGACAGGGAGCTAGAAGGTGCTGATACCATGGGATCTTAGGGAGTTCGTCCGCCCAAAGGCCCGACACAGTATCATAGTATGACATTTCAGCTCCAAAGGGGAAGGTGACCTGATCCGGCGTTTTTGGCAATTTCAACTTGCCGTAGTGAGTTTGCTTGAATGATTTCTTGCGCGAAGCAAGCGTGAAGGTTTTATTGATCACTAGGGAGAAATTCTTGATGTTGGTGATATCCTCAAGGAGCAATTTGGGGACGGCTTTGGTGCTTGAATGAACCGTGGTACCCAGAAGATACAACTGCCAAGTTGCTGTACGATAGGCAGATAAGTACTGGGGGATAAGTAGCTCAAGAAGAATAGCTGCTCGTTGGGCATTATCCTTATCAGTGTCTGTTGATGGGAGAAAGTCCTCATGAACGTTGATCTTCAGCTTTTTTCGTTGCCAAAATTTCCGACATTTTCGGCAATCATGTGAGATCTTTTTTCCGGTAGGAGATACGGCGCATGTACAGACAAGGTCGTTCATTGACTGTGTCAAGCTGTCATACTTTTTTGTCAGTCGTTCTAGCTCGGATAGGGTTGATTGTCGGGCTGTCATTGAAGCATCATCAATGAGCGTGGCGGTCATCAACATCTGACTACCAGCCACAGTGGAGGAGACGTATTTGGCAGGAAACGATGGCCCTTGTCTAGGACTATCGAAGAGTGTACCCAGGTCTTTTCTGTGTGAAGCCACACGATTGCGAATGTATTGTTGTACTCGTAATAGGCGTTCCATCTCGTCCCAGGTCATCAAGCAAAGCACATCCAGTGCATCAGGAACGAACAGGGGATGATATTCTTTGAGTAATGGACACACAGAGGTTGCCGCTTCATCCATCTTTGTCCAAAGCTCGAAAAGTCTAAGAAGGTGACGACTCATCAGAGTCGAATTGTTATTGAAGCTGTCTCCCACGTTGGTAAGTAGGTCCATAATAGCTGTAGACAGTGTTCTGCACAGTTCTTGAGGTTTATCTGAGGTGGCAGCAATTCTCGTAGCTACCGCATTTTCAATGTCATGAAGGGAAATATAGCGGTCGGCCAGGCGTCCAACTTCGAGAATTGTCCCTTCTTGTAGCTTGGGCAAATCCGTAGAGATGATACGGGGCCTGGGAGTGAACTTCTGTGACAGCTGAGACTGCAGAAAGTCGCCACTGTTATCCAGTCTGATGTATAGATCAGCTTGCGGAACACGACACGGAAGAGTTGGAATGCGGCGAGTAACTCTGGCTTTGAAGTCCTCCCATTGTAAAGAAACCCGTTCTGTTGCATGCTTCACGATATCTCCAAAGTCTCCCGATGTAGATGCAAAAAGTTGGTCATACAATGGGCGCAAGGACGGCGAAGACGCGGCTCTATCCGTTTTGAGTTTTGCCATGCGGCGGCAGAGCTTTGCTCGAAGTTGCAACGTCATCTCGGGGTGCAGATATTCGACAGAGTCCTTGAGAAGCTCGGCCAACATGGCACAGATAATGAACTTATAATAGACCCGTCCTATGCCGACGCATTCGTGGTCTAGCATCTCCCGTAGCATACGTTTTAATGCTACACGTAGAACCAGCCAGTATGGCGAGCGCCTCCAGGGAATCTCAGATGAGCCTAGTACAACGTCATCCCGAACTTTCTTACGGACTGACTGAACTTGTAAGCCACTCCCAAGCCCTTCCAAAAGTGACATGAGCATGTCAATCACCAGGGCAGGATCTGTAGAGTTGCGGGTTTCGGCAATTGATTTTCCGCCTTTGGAAGCCTTTGCCGAGAATTGATCAAAGGATTCACAGCTTGCCTGTGCCAAAAATTGGGATAGGTTTCTCAGGAAGGACATGTCGCTGAAAACATTGAATGGTACTTGGACTGAACGATAGGGAAATTCCCACGTGAGGCCATGTTTTGCTGCGAGAACATCTTTAACCGGCGCATCGGTCTGAAATGCTTCGAAAACGACTGTTTCTTCACTATTATACGGTCAGTTGATATTTCATCATCACAAGCACAGGCTATCTATCAGAAACAGACATGTCATTGCGATGGAGTAGCAAAGCAGAATTCTGTTGAGTGACAAACAGAGCGAGCCATATGTTCTCCTTGCCACTGGCGATGCCCTGAAACATCTGGAGAAGTTCGTGGCTGATCAGTTGGCCCTGGTTCAGAAATGTTGTAGCTTTCATAGAGCTGACTAGGACGTCCCAAACGTCCTGGTTATGATCGTTACTGAACTGGGCCAAGGCGCGCCGAAGTCGACTTCCAAGATCGTACGCCAGCCCGGAGTCATTCGCGTCGTTTCTGGTAGGTAGTTTAGAAGGAAGAACTACGTGATGAAAAACGGCTTGAAGCAGCAATTTCGGCTCGAGAGTCTCTGACATGTTGAAGTAGCTAACCGTCAAGGAATCGTTTTTGCAAAATGTAGGTCTTTTTGGTGAGAATAGTAGGTTAGAGTAAAGAGAGTGATTTCTTTCAAATGCGATTAGAGGCACAGAGCGGGGAACCCATGTTGGTAGGCCTCCTGCAGGATACTCTATGTATGTTGGTTGTAAAATACAGAGGTAGCCACGAAATGTTCTTACCTAAAGCGAAGTGTGGCTAAGAGGCTCTCTAGCCACAATACAGGGGGTATATTTACTTTGATAAGAGACGCTGCTTATCGTCTTTTATGAGGGTATAGGCTAAAGTTATGTAGAGTTGATACCTTCCTAGTCCTTAGAGTTATCTGTTGTCACTGCTAACATATCCTATAAGATCTTTTATAAGAGCAGTTTATATTTTCACAGAGCCCAGCCTGTCGATATGGTAAATGGTTGCTATATACTTTAGGATTATGAATTAGTCTAGCTGACATAGCTAGCAGGCTCTTTCAGCCTCGAAATTTATAAAAGCCTTATTAAATACATCTCTGGCAACCCTGCTTCAGGGTGGTTTAGAACCGCATTAGGGGAAACGGCAACAAAAATTCATCAGGAGCCTTTAAGTAAGGAGAAATAAAGATAAGTTAGAGCTTTCCCTAACTAGTACCATTCTCTAAGAGAGTAATCTTCTTTTAACTAAAAAAATCACTCTATCACATTATAAGGTTTTTAAGATCTTAATTGTACTACACTATTAGCAGACTATTAAGAACCTGCTAAAACCACTTCTTATAACCACTCTAATTCCTTCCCTGCCCTCAAGGTGTAACCTCAGCTCCCTGAAGCATATCCCAAGTCGGTACCTTTGTGAAGTCGTATGCTCTCGTCCCATCAAACCGATGCGCCAGCTTCTTCAATTCAATGTAACGCATAACAGTGTCCCGCAAAATCTCCCACTTCGTGACACAAGTTTCCAGATTGCCGTAATCCTGAGTTATTTCATAGAACGCGGCTTCGACCCAGTCGATCCAGTTCCAAGCCTTGACGTCTTGCTGAATTGGTGTACGCCTGAGACTGAAACGAAGTCGGTCTAGGTCCTTAACTTTACCGATAAGGATTCGCGTGAGCATCATAGAAGGTGCGTCCGTGGAGATGTCAATCTCTTCAAAGTGCCAATAGGAATTTGCTGTCCGCTGCTCTCCCAATGGCCTGAGACTTTTTTTCACGTGGAAGCGTTTTCTTTGGCTATTTTTGGTTTCATCTTCTGGCTCTACTATAAAAGCCCAATGGTATCTATTCGACATTAACACCAGATCATTAATAAACCTCCGCAGCCGATTTTAAACTAACCTGTCTTCGTGCCCTGGCATCGTGGACTTGCCTCCTCGGGCGTATAAGGCAACGTAAAGAAGGTACCTGCCAGGTTTCTCATAGCTAGTCATCTGTGTCAATCGTGGGAAGAATGATGTTAGAAAGAATGAAGAGCAAGAGGTGTGTTGGCGCATGTTGTATGTTGTGTGAACTTATAATTTTAAACATGAGGAGAAAGGCTACCAATATATAAAAGAGCAGAGCTTCCTGCTTGCATGATCTCAATTTAAAAAATTTGTTTACTGTAGCATTGGCCATGTCCGTGCCATCCGGATCTCATCAACTACCGATAACGATACATGCCTAGCATTTCCAAAATCTCCTTTTACCTCTCTTCACTCTGTTTAAGTATTACTAATTACCTGGAGCACTGAATGTTTTCATGATTTAGACTTCCGGAAGCAAAGGCTGTTCCAGGGAAGTGGAGAGTATACAAGCTTGCAACTTTCGGCATTCTTAGGGATACTTTCAGGCCTCCTCGGGTAGGCATAAAAGCTAAAACTCGTAGTTCAGAGCATATACCATTGTTTGGCATGTTTTCATTTACCCTAAAAAGTTATTGCCGCATTATTAGGTTAACGTGATAGAGCCATACAACATATAGATCTTACCAAGCTATCACCCGTAAAGCACCTTTGTAGGAACACATACATCCATTGTAGGTGCTATCTACTTGCTTTCGACGACTACCACCCTGAATTTAATGAGGTATGAAACTCTAAACGACTGTTTGGAAAATGTCCTTCTTCATTTGGCTCTAGTTCGTTAAATTTAGGTTAGCTTAACGCAGTCATTAAAGCTTGTCGACGGGATGGCGGCTGATTGGCACTAACCCTTTGCGACAAGCCACGTCATGATTGCTTCCCCACCCAATTTCGGCCTCTTTTCTGACTCAGTAATGTATGAGAGGGAACCAACAGCGTCGTATAGCATGACACGATCGGTCAGCTTACGTGTGCGGCCCGGTCCTCCGCTGGTTTAAGCCCTGCTGATGACGCCCGCATGTACCTATGCTAGCCAGTTGGGCAGCGGGAATGGAAATGCCTTGCTTAACTCTATCAAGGTCAAGCAATGCTGGAAACTCATGGCAGAGTGTCGACGGCCCCACTCAATTCCGGGCCGTGCCGTCAACGCCAAACAGAGCATCAACGCTGTGCGGCTCGAACCCGCGACGGATCCAGTAGCTTGCCATGGTTAGATTCACAATGCCGTATACCCTACATTACAGGACTTTTCAAAGAAGGTGATTAGTAGTATAAAGCAGTAAGCACTCATTTATGTGGGATTTCTAATATTGAAATTGAGCAAATGAACAGCACGTGTGACGAATCACTTTGAGATGCTCAGCACTATGCCCCTTATTGCACGGCTTCTAGTACACAGGGAAGTACTTGGTAGCTTGTTAACGAGACTCTTCTGTGAAAGCTTTTCCTTATCACCTGCCGTTAACGCTCTGTTAAGAGGAAGAACTTTTACACGCTGAACTGGCGTAGAAACCTCTGGGATTAGCGGGACCCTGGGGCTCACGACATCGTCTTCAGACACCATTTACTATATGACATTTATGGCTTCTTATTAAGTCGAGATTATGGCTTCGTGAGCCCTTGATATTCGGGGCTCTGTACCCCTTCGATTTCCCGCATTGCCGACATCTACAGCCTCGGCTGCCCAGACGACACTTGCGGCATTCTACCGCTCGACATTTAAGGGTTAACGTACATGATAAGCGAGTGTTACAAACAAGCGAGTGTTACAAAAATCTTAACCCTTGAGACAGGAATCGTCATGAGAACACAACAAATCACGCAATCAAGTAAAACTAATCGCTTTCCTCTTCTCCAGACATCGAAACAACTATTTGACACGTTCTCGCATTATGCCCTACCTTGCCGCACGTTCCACAGTTCCTTTCCTTTACTTGCGCCGACCTTCTTTGACTACCA